ATCGGCGAGAGCTGCAAGGAGTGGGAGTTCGTATCCTCCCTGTCAGGACTGAGATAAAATAAAACCAACCCCAAACTTTTTGTTTTGTTTAGTAAGTTGTGATTATTTAAGCTCCATGTCTAGCTGGGGTCGCAAGCACAGTGGCTCTGCCGTATTCATCGGTCGAGCGCCCAGACGGGGAATTTCTCTCGTGTGCTGCTGCAGAAAGAGCCTGGCAGGAAAGGTTAGAGGAGTTTCAAAATATTCCTCTCTAGCACAACATTCTTCCAGTGGAAAAACGACTTCCTCTCATTAAAATTCAATTAGTTGGGAGGCTGTGTGGATCTCTCTGTAGGGCTGGGGGAATGCCGGGTAGGTTTGAAAAGGGGCCAAGCCTGGAGCCTAGGTGGTACAAGTTAAGTTCTGTGTCGAGCTGTTATTCAAAACAGAAGTTTACAAATGTCAGGACAGGCTCTCGCGCCGGGGTTGGGAAGTGGCGGCTGGCTTCAAGCTGTGACTGAGAGGATGCTGTTGCGAGACAGCAAAGGGCCTTTTTGCAGAAAGAGGAGAGAAAGAGAAAAGAAATCGCCCGTGGTGAAGGATCAACACTTTCTCTCTGCTTGCAGGCTGCAGCAGGCAGCGTTCCTGTGGCTATAGCAGCACTGGGAGGAAGTTGAAGACATGTGAATATCTCATTTTTAGAGGGATTAACTGCTTCTTTTGATGTGCTTTTTTAAAATACACATTACAAACCAAATCCTAGCACAGTCTAATGGTTAGGTGTACGAATGGAGAGAGATGAAGTCTGGGAAGGTCTCTTTTGCAGAAAGTGAAGCACCTTCTGCCTGAAGCCCAGGGAGACTTTCCAAAACACCCTGGGGATGCGATGCCTCCGCTCCACAGCGATGCAGCACAGGAGCTGCCTGCCCAGTGCCCCCATCTATTGTGGGAGTCACCTTCCTGTGCAGCATCCCATCAGGTCCTGTGTGGGTAACAGGAAAGCGGAGGTGTGAGCCCATCTCTGCTGGCAGCAGCGTGGTGATCCCGGGGCTGACCCCGCAGCCTTTGTGCTGATCCCCCGTAGCCTGTGCTGTGGGGTAAGGGCTGAGAATAGGTTGAACGCTTGTCAGGCCAAGGGTTTATTGGCTGTTATATGCATGTCTGCTCCACATTGAACCCATCAACCATGGCTGTGGGCTAGTTGGGTGCTTTGTGGGCTCTCACCTGAGATTGCCCATGGAAGATGCTCGCGCCAAGGAATTCCTGCTCCATGCGCAACTCATCGCTGTGTGCAGGGGACAGCACCTCTCTCCCTGGGGCTTGTTCCTTCCATCAGGGCGAGCAATCAGGTTCGAATATGGTCTCCATCCCACCCCCAGCCAAAGCTTGGCAAGGCTGGGACACGTTTAGCCAAAACAGCAAGCAGCTCGCTTAATCCATGGGACCACGCAGACGGCATCTCCCCCTGGGCTGGCTTTTCCCACCCACCCTCTGCTGCGGTGCTCTGGTGCAGGAGCAGCTCAGCCGCCTGTGGGCTGAAGAAGTCATTCAGGTTTAGCAGATGTGGGTTGAAACAGAGTTCAGGTCCTGGCTCCATGAGGTTGCCGGTGCTGCATTTCATTCCCAGGAGCGTCTGTATTACAGCAGCGAACTGAGAAATCCCGCGTTGCACAGCTGGAGGGTCTTTATGCATGGAAAGTGCTGCACAATGTCTGTGGCAGGTAAATGTTACCGTCCCTGGGCTGGGTCAGGTGAATTTAACCCCTTTGCAATGCTGTTTTGAAGCATCTCGCGTAATCCCATTGAAGTTCGGTTTCTGCAATGGTGTGTAGCCCAGCCCTGTTTTCCTGCTTAGCGTTCCTCTATGGACCAGCACTTACAGCCACGGGCTGATGAGCAAAATGAAACTTGTCCAGACCTTGCTGAAGTCCCAGATATGTGATGTCTTCCATATTTCTGCTGCAAATCCCATTTTGTCTCCTGATCTGTCAGGAAGAGACTATCCTGTGAGGCTTCTGTGCCAACAAAAGCACTGTGCAGCACCTGGCTGGCAGAGCTAGCACTGGCGGGGCTAAAATTGGGGTGTGGGCATTGGGAAAAAAACACGTGGGTTTCGGTAAAACTGCTGAGGGTACCCTAGGAACATGTACGTTTGGTGTGAATTATTTTTGGTTCATCTGTTTAAGATTTTGCAGGATTGTCCCCCAAGGTAATTGGTGTTTCAACCCTCTGGAAATAATGTTGGTTTGCAGCAGTATCTGGTGTTGGTGGAGGTGAAATTAGTTTCCCCATAAGTGGAAGAGCTCAGTGCGTGTGTGTGTTGCTTTTGATGATTTTTGTCTTTTACTGTTGGCTCCTCTGGAGCCAAGAGGAGCTTATTTTGTCCAGCTGAGTACTATAACTGCGTGTCAGTGGTCTAGTTGGTACTGTAAAACCAAGTGGGTTTCTTCTGATCCTACCAAATGGTGCAAAGTGAGAGGGTCTCAAACACCTGCGGACCCTGTTCTGCCCAGACAGTGAAACTGTGAAGGGCTGACAAAGTATTTACTACTGGTTTATGGCAAAGCTTGTCCTGGGATGAGTTATGGTGCACCGCTGGGCTTTGGATGATGCTGAAAGGATGGTGCTTTTTATTTTCTTTCCTCCTTT